TAAAATGCAAACCAATGAAGTTGCAAGTCTTGTTTCCTATTTAATGTCTTGTGTTGATTTATATAAGGGGAGATATTTTTTTTATCATTAGTGACAGTGTAATTATAAATGTTAGACTGCTTTACATTATTGACCATGTTTGACAGAATATCACCAGTATAACAGTTATTAATAATTGCACAGTCAATCATTTGCATATTTACAGATACAATAATGTTCAAGGACGAATGTTGATGATATGTGTAAAGTAGGCTAGGACTATTATACAACACACACTACAGCACCTCCGTCAACAATTTATAATACAATATGACATCAACAAATTAATGTAAAGCAAAAAATAACTGACTAATTGACGTTTATTCAGGAACAAATTGACAAACTGGTACTCATGTCAAGCTCTGAACAGAACTCTACGGACTGACTTGCACGTCCAGCCCTGAACGAAACCCGTACAAAAATGTTATAAAACTCTTATAAAAACAGTAAAGAAGTACAGTAATTAGTTCTGATCGAACCGTGAAACCATTTTCATTGGTTTATCATTGTAAAACTATTACAGTAGATAAGACAGCATAAACTGTACTCCAAGTACTGACATGCACGCCATCGATAATTGGAGTACAGTTGTATTAAAGTATACTACAATATCTATTAACAGAAATCATTATGTCCTGACAGACCAGCTCCTAGAGAGAGAGTTGCAAGTACAGTTGAAGAAATTAAGGAACACTCAGAAACCAAGAAAACTTCTACTGACGTCAACTGACATCACTATTTTGACATTGATTATGTCATCATTAGGAAATATTACTATTGGTAATAACAGTATTTTATAAAACATGCCTCACTTTTAATTGGTTTTGGCAAGATCTTATGCAGCGTGCCCAAATGCACTACAACTATAAGCATCTAGTTAAACTAGATTTAACCAGATATTCGCATAAACAAAATTAGATGAAATGATATAAGTTAAAATTCCACACCAATAAAATATATGAGTGGTACTGGGTAAAGATAACTTGATTTCTTCTTTCAAACAAGGTATCAATTCATAGAAGTCTTATGAAGATAAGCCTATCTAATAGTGGTGAAGACCAGGATATACTGTACATCCAACTACTTCCAGAAGAAAATGTTATAGACACATGGCGAATTGCAAATAGAAACAAACATAAAACATAAAAAATCATTCTTCATTAATCAAGCATGGCTGCAAATTACATAAACCTGCATATACAACAAGAATGTCATCAACTTTTTTAAGATTACCAGGTAGTACATTATTTAAAATTTTAAAACACTTAAGTCTTCTAATTGCTCTTTCAACATGTATCCTGACATTTGCAATTCGCCTTGTTTCTGTAACATTTTCTTCTGGTAGCAATCGGTCTTTAAAACATTTTGTAAATGCTGGCATTGACAATTTCACTCCTGGTGGCAAAATATCCTCAATTGTAAAACCCCTAATCAAATCCTAAAAAGTGTATCCCGTGGCAGCCAGAATATTATATTATGTTTCATATACGATGCTATTACTGGAAGCCATGGACCAAATATACTGCATGCTGTTGATTGACATATGTTGAAACGGACACCAAGATCAGTAAACATTAATCCTAATCGAATTCTCATTAGAACCAGTAAAATTTGGTTTTCTACTTTAAGCTTAAAATTTGGTACTACATTGTCATTCCACATCAACAAAGAATTAATGAATTCCCACAATACAGGTTTGGACAAACCAGTGTAAAATTTTAATGTATTTTCGTTCATTTCATGAGCTGTAATTGCAGGAGAGGCATCAGTTTGTGTAGATTTAGAAACCTTATGAACATTACAATCCGTAGCATAATTATGATCTGTCTTGGCGGGATCACACCACTGAACCTGTCTCTTATACACATCTAGATGTGTATAAGAGACAGACTGTATATAATGTTATCATAAACACTGGTATGTCAGATTTCTATTACTTAAATTATGTTAATATTACTTAAATTATTCAACATTTTCTGTAAAACATTCCTATAAGCCATTTCACGGTTCTAACTGCGCATGCGCTTATCCTGTATCCATTGTATCCAAGGTCAAATCGACATAATCCCTATGTTTTGTATGGTGTTTATGTCGATTTTACCTTGATATGAGCATGCGCAGTTAGAACCGTGAAATGGCTTATTTAGAGCTTCAGTATGTGTTTTGGACCAAAATTGAACTTTAATGTTTTGCAGCTTGAAAACTGAGATAATGAAAATGGTCTACAAATTAGGTGTCTCGAAATTGAAAGAGCATTTCCTGCACTTTATATCACTAAATAATTTATATTGTTTTTCTGTTGTTTGTTTTTTAAGATGATGAACTAGTATGTTCAAGAACTCTGAAATACTTTCAGGGAATTGCTGCTAGAATCTGGGTTGTGTCTTATGCATGTATGTATGTTTTTAATGTTGTAGAGGAATTTCACTAAAACCATTGCTAAACCACAGATTATTTCTTCCCCTTATGAAATTTTTTCTTGTAAATTGGGTGGATTTCTCCAATCTGGAAATTATAGAAATATATGTCAATTATGCCAATAGTTTAAATTAGAAAGATAGTAATCATAATGATAATGATAATATATGGATAACTGACAATTTTTAATTTGTTTCTTTAATGTAGTCCAAATCTTTCTGTCGTTTTACAGGGGTAACCGCTTCTTTAGAGGTAGGCTACCTTTTGCCAGAGAAAAACTTTGAAGTTGTTGGCGACGACATTAATGGCAGGAACCACAATGGCCCAAAAAGGGCAAGACTTTGGAAAAGCCCAGAACTACTAATGAATAAATTCACAATATATCCTATGGGGCAATATACTGATTTAACGAAAGGTACAGTATTTGTTTTACAGATTAGGAAACTTTGGTCTGCCAGTTAGAATGAACTTAAATTCTTAATTTACAGTGTATCTATATTACATGGCAGTTTTGAGACGACTTAGAAGTAAGGTTGTTGTAAGCTAGAAGTAACCATTTGATTATTTGTAAGTCATGGGCAGTGCCTATGTAAATGCTATCTATCCTTATGCCAGATAAATTACTCTTTAGAAATCGTATAGGAGAAACTTTCTACTTCTTTTTGTACTTTATTTATTTATTTATTTACTCTTTCTTTATACTGAATCGCATTCTCATTTCTGATTTCTGGTTAAATTATTATAAAACTCATTGCAAAATACACATTGAAAAAATATATAACATTTACACTTTATTTTACTTTAGGTTTAGGTATGTAGTGTCAATCATTTACATAAAGAAAGATGTTATTTTCTTTTGTGTTACTTGGCATTTACTTTGTCCCAATCTTCAATAAGCAGCTCTCCATTGATATTCCCTGGTCCCAATCTTCAATAAACTGCTCTCCAATGATTTTCTGATTCACAGATAGTGGCGTAAAACTAAAAATTTCTTTTTTAAATCTAGCTTTCTCAACAAAAAAAAAAGCAGAAAAGATAATACACTCAAGAATAGTGGTGGGCTATTACATTTACAGGGTAAAAAAAGGGTGATATTTCAAATAGCAATGTACAGGTCTAAAATGAAGCGGTTTATTGTCATGAGCATAAGAAAATCTGTTTTAAAAAAATGGGACAGTGTGGGCCAAAAAACGAATTGAGGGGACAGGGTTAAAATTTGTGGAAAAGATCAAAACTTTTTTTTTTTTATCTGAAGTCATAAAAATATTATGATATTGGTATATGGATGTTTTTGAGGCCACATAATTGATTAGTGGTGACAGAGGTACTCAAAAATGTAAATATAGTGGTCAAATTTCATGTTTTTTTATGCATTACAGTAAGAGTACAAGATATGTACTGTACGGAAGGAAATAGGTACAGTTTGTACCATTGTACCGATAACCATTTCCATCAATTCATAAAGCATTTTAATGAGCATTATAGACCTATATGTATCTTACTGTACTTTTGATGACTGATAATGTATCATCAACTATGTACCAATGTATCAACTATGTACCGTACGGACGTACGGTAACCATGATTTTTAAAACAAAGAAGGTTTATCAATCAGAACAATTTCCGGGGCATTTTCTTATCTAGTGAACACCAAGGGTAACCCACCCACCCAGTCTGCAGACTTATTTCCAGTAGGGTCCTTCAGGTGGTGATTGGCCAGTACCGTACACCAGGAGACCAACTTTAGTCTTCCGAATTTTTGTACTGCATCCTTTAACATGCACATGACCAAGGATTTAGACTCTTCTAAAAGACACATTACAATGCTTTAGCAGCAACACAAGGAGAGCAGCAGATGGGATTGAACCAGGTACCCAAGGTTAACAATGGATCTCCATGGTTCTGCACACACAGTGGCTACCACCAGATTAGCTAAGATACTCACATTGTACAAATTCTACAAAAAAGGCCTGTCCAATGGGAGAAATTCCCCCTGCTGTCGCCTCCCCTGTTCACATGTATAAGCTGACATAAAAGGCTCTCTCTGGCTTTGCTATTCGAAAGAGAGTCTGATAAATCATAAAATAAAAACAATAGTAAAAAAAACTGGAATATTACCAGTTCTTGCAATTTCATACTTAGATGTTTGATGTTTGTACAGCTGTACACAGCACAAACTTTGCCAGGCCTCACATTCTTTCTTTTCTTAATCTTACTCATCACACACTGGTGCAAATATCTGGCAAAAAAGAGAGAAAAAAAAAACACTTCAAAAAGTTAATCATTTATTCAGGCCTAGGCCTACCTATGGCCTAGGAGTAAAGCAATTTAAGAAGATGAACAAAAAACAAAAAAAACAAAAAAAACACATAGGCCTAGGCCTACACACAAAAGTGAATAAGTAGGCCTAGATAGGCCTCCTTTTTAAAAAAATTTTACACTGAAAATTCATAGACATCTTTACTCATACATGGGCATAGGGCCTATAGGCTAGGGTATGCCTTTAGCCTATTTCAATGGTTTACAAAATGCAAGTAGATCTTACCGATTAATCCACCAAAACTACCTAGCTAGGCCTAGGGGTTCCTGTGTGGTAGAAATAACAGCAGGTCCACTACTACTACTACTGTAGGCCTCCTACAGCAGTACTGTCTCAGTATGCCTGGCCTAGCCTAGGCCTCTCTAGGCCTAGTAGTTATTTATAGTAGGATAGGCTTATGATGTTATGTTTTAAATTACAGACAACGGAATCACTGAAGCTCACTGGTGACTTGTAGTAGAAAGACTACTGAATACTCGTTTGATCAATTTAGGCGCAAACTTTTAAACTAGGCTACAGACAGAATTGTTATCTGCTGCTGCGCGGTTGGTTACCCCACCGTGTTACAAAGGCACGTTTGTCCTGCTGATCACCTAGGCCCAAGTAGTAGCTACCGAGTTAGGCCCTAAGCTAGCTAGGGCCCTAAACAAATTCCTATATTTGTTTCAAAAATACATGAAAAATATACTTATCTCTGATTGTGTGAGCTGTGATAAATTATATAGGCGTAGGTGACGCCTGACGGGATTATTCAGCTGACTATGGAGGTATTTTATACCTCCATGAGCTGACATAGGCCTATTCTATCAAATTAAAAAGCCGCATATCTCAGTACTCCTCCTCCGTTGATAAACAAAACCAAGGAACTCCGCATTACATAAAATTACAGAGTATCCCCAATTTCGCAAATGCACCCCCAGTAATGGCGCCGACAATAGAGGGCGACACTCAAAAATGCTCTCTTGGATAGGTCTATAGTGAAAAACAAATTTTGATTTTAGGCAATTTTTTGAGCTCTCACATTTATAGCTCATTTACTCAACACTGGCCTGTGAGACAACTTAAAACTACTTCCTCACGACATGCCTAAGTTCTTTACCCTCGTTAGAATTGTTATCGGAATAATGACATGATCACTGAAAATTCCAAGATGGCGTAAATGTTGGCGGGAAAACTTATTTTTTTATGAATAATAATTTTATTGTTATCGAAGTATAGGTGCCATTTCAAAACAATGCTTTAACAGGAATATTAAATAAATCATATTTAATTAATGAACTACCACAATATAAACCCAATAAAAAAACTAAATAGTGATTTATTTTTATGACATTATAACATTACGTTTTTGTAATAATTTTTGGGCACTAATCGTCAGAGGTCTCGGTGCTACAGCCTACACTTTTCATAATTCAAAATGCTATGCATGATATATGTTAACCTGATGGTTCACTACTGGGGAAGAAAAAAGGCGGCATGGAAAAAAACTGGCCACATACGTTCAACCATGAATATGGGATTACCTTTATCTTTTATAACATTGTTTTGAAATTGCATCTGTACTTTCACAACAATAGCATTATTTTTTCCAGCAAAAAAAATGCTTTTCCAGCAAAAATAAATGCCAGTTTAGAATTTGTCTTCAATGTGTTTTTAACGATTGTGAAGAGTAACTTTTTTGAATCTATAGAATCCGGTTAGAAAAAATTTTGAAGATTGTATATTAAACGGAGTTTCCAGATATAATAGGAAATTCTTACATTGATTAGATGCGAGAGCGAAACCTGCAAACTGTAATCTTTGCCTAATGATAAGACAGCGGCCACTACCAATAGAGTTCTTAGATCTGCACTCTATGTGAGAATCAGAAAGAATGAAGCAAGTGTTTAATTTGCTAATATTTAAATGAGGAGATGGCATCTCTGTCAGTGGATTAAGGAAATCAAGGCAAGGTGTTGCAGGCACTTATACATAAGGTATAAACCCAATAACCCAACCCGGTAGTGGCCGCTGTCTTATCATTAGGCAAAGATTACAGTTTGCAGGTTTCGCTCTCGCATCTAATCAATTGAAAGGTTATGACCAAGTTTTTGACAAGAATCCAATTGAAGGGTGCTCTCGAGCAACAATCTGATCATGTTGATACAAATACCAACATCGGAGAAAATAATTTAATCAAAAGTTGGGGTATTAGAAAAAAAGCCAAAAATTGTCATTGCAGGTTACTGCTGCCATACTACTGTATATGTTGCACAATGCAGGAGGTAAGGGTACGATTGCTTCTGGAAATATTACCAAATTCGAAACACAGTAAAAGATTACTGCATGGACTTGTTCCACTGGTTTGACAATCGACCAAATGAAAAGGTGCTCTGTAAGAATACTTTGAAGTTCTGTGACACAGTTTATGAGGAGGTAGTTAAATATCTGTACAATGGCTTTACCTATAGCGTTGTTTAGACAGAGTTAAAAAAAGTATGAGCCATTGAGGTCATACTATACATTCTGTCAGAAAATGAACATAAAATCCGCTTCAAATGCTTGTGCATTCAATATTTCATTGACTGATGTATCCATGTTTCTTCAGTCAGCAATGGCTATTTTTAGAAATTTTAACCTGTTTTTGCATTGAGAAGCTCCTCTTATCCATTTGATGGATGAACAGATGGAACATTCATAACCCAGTTGGCTATGAAATTTGTGAACTCGGAGAAAGTGATAGAACACAAGCAACAGTTTGAAAGTTTGAAATCACTTGACATTTCAGCTGGGAGCTCAGCCATCGGCATGATAACCAACGGGAAACTGAGAAAGCATCTGAAAGGAAATATTGATGTTCAACGTGTTGATTTATTTTATGAAAGTGTACAGAAGTTTTACTGTACTGTGTTTGCATACTGCACCAAATGGCTCTCATTGAACAACCCTTGCTGAAAAATTGCACTTTCATTGATTTACTTGAAATATCACAGCATAGATAATGTTGGACTGCCCTTGAACATATTCACCAAGATGTCATAAATGATCCTCAACTACAGGAATTCCTTGTGCGCCATTTAATGTACCTCTCTATTTATGCTGACATTTCCTTTGTGCACTGACCTTAATGAAGACGTTGTTGACGTACAATGGCTTTCTGTTACTGACACCTCGAAAGATCATGTTAAATGCTATCAGAATATTTCGACGTTGTGGGAACTTTTCAAATAAAGGTCGGGAATGGGGGCACCTTTCACCAGTGAACCCTTCCATCTCCTGATTTTTTATTTCCAAGTGTTGGAACATTTGCTTACAGGACACTACCTTAAAACAAAAATCGTAAAGCATTGGCTTATGGTAGGAATAAATTCTTTGAAATGAGAGAAGTTTTAAAACTGTTATAAGATGAAAAAACTAAAATAAAGCCTAGATTTCATGTGTGTGGAATGTTATGAAACAGTATAGATTCATTAGTTAAAATGAAATTTAATTATTACAAACTTTCCCTAAAACACCAACTTGA